GGGGGGGAGGTGGCTAGGGAAAAATCCTAGCATAGCCATTTTTATGTCGATATTGAGATTTACCACAATCTTAGAATATGACTTATCACTGCTATTAAGATATATAGTTATACTGATATTTATTAATCATATGACTTGTTATTATTTTATTGATTGTGCATACATTCTGTTCATACGCACTACAGAAAATTCATCAATTATCAGTGGTTTGGACCAGTGGTTCTACAATCGTCAATAATAACGGCCGCTTAACCGATGGTGTTTACCGACGGTTTGACCGACGGTGTTTACCGGCGGTTATTTAAATGAAAGCAGACGGAAATAGCGGGGGTCCAACAATCGCCGGTTAACCTGGCGGTATTAATTCTTACCAGCGCGTGTCCGGCAACTATAACCGCCGGTGTTAAGTAAATTATTTTTGACGGTCTGAAACTCTGGAAAGCCGCTAGAAAATGCCCTAAAATAAGCAGTCCCGAGCCTTCCATTTCATTTGGTCGCATGCTCCTCTTTATCCTACGTGACACTCGCCCTCTGTCTCCTCCGCCCTCTTGTGATCGAGACTCTCCCTCTAGCCATCGATAAGGTCCCTCTGGCCGAAGATCATGCCCCCACTGTAAGGCTGAAGATCTCGCCCCGCTCCCCGCTCGTGCGCGAAACCAGCCTCCGAGTGCCGTAGGTTTAAGTTTTAAGGTTTTTTTTTTTTTTAAGTTGTTTTTTATTTTGTACAATGTCATGAAGAACTGGGTTACATTAAAGTTGTTTTCTTTTTTTTTATAAAAAATTTTGAAGTTGTTTTTGCTTGGGTGGATGAGTGGCTTGACCCTTAGAGATAGGATACGAAATGAGCATAGACATTTGCACGCTAACATGGCTTTCATGTCTCAAGATGCACTTTATGAGTGGTTGGGCATGTTATTTATCTCTTTAAATGTGTCTTACATATTGATGAGACCCATGAATATTGTTTCACTTCCATATAGATGCTTTTAGTGAGGTAGTTTTATTATATAGTATTTCTTACAAAGATTAGAAGAAGCATTTAAAGCATTTGGGGATGGGTTTTTACATAGAGCTTGACTTGAGAGGGTAGGGAGAAAGTTATGTTTCTTTTTATATGTTAAAATCAAACAAATGTGGATTTACTTTACCTAATTTACCAGTGAAAAAAAAATTGTTTGTAAGAAACAAGATATAAATATTGAGTCATTTTATTGAAAGTAAGGGCCAATTTTCTTCATTTATGTTTTGCTTGGAATATACTCTTTGAAATCTCAATCTAAAAGGCAAAATTTTTTTCTGAGCCTTTAGATAAAAATCCTAACATTTGTTTCAACTTTATAGTTGAAATCAATTAGGTCCTCCTAATTGTATGCTTCTATCAAGATTAGTTTCATACACAACCTGAAGTGCCAGATGAGTTGATTTATTATGAACTTATTATGAGTTGATTTATTCTGATGAATATATTTGTGATAATTATTGTGATTGATTATAGTGACGTGTTTCTCATATTTGTGAAAATTATTGTATTTTATGTGCATGTTTAGAGTTTAGGATGAAAATCAGAAAAATAGAGTGGAAACTGTCATTTTTTTTAAATGCTATAGGTTTTCGGCGGCCAACTGATGGTTTGGCCGCCGGAAACTTTGATATCGGACGGCTGATAGAAGCCGCCAGAAGATTACTATTACCGCCGAAAATTTTTGATGGCTTACCGACAGGTTCTGACGGTTCGCCGGCGATACGCCGGCAGTGGCACTATCAATAATTCCTTCGGCTATGATCGCCAGTTCCTTCTACGTTATACCGGCGGTATAGCTGCCAAAAAACTCCTTCATAACAGGCGGTTAAAAATCCAGTATGTCGCCGGTAAATAACCGGTGGTCACCGGCGTCATGACCACCGGAACAAAATCTGCGGTACTTGCCGTCAGTTACTTAAACCGTCGGAAAAATGCCGCCGAAAATGGTTTCCTATGCAATTTTTACCGGCGGATTTTAAACTGCAGCAAAGCCGCCGAATTTTACAAAACCGCCAGAAATCTTATGATAACCGCCGGAATGAGCCACTGGTATTGAGTGATTTTCCTATAGTGATGCCTTGCTTGGATTTTAATTGGAAGTTTTGGTAACTTACTGAGCTGTTGGTTTTCTATGTAGTTTTATATATTTTCAGGAAGGGTTAGGATTCAGTGAAGTGAGGATTGATAAGGGATTGAAGTTTTATTTTGTTATGCATTGTTTTTAGTTTTATTTTTTTTATAGTCAATAGTTAAAAGATAAATTGATGAATGCTTGGATTAAACTCTTGGCTATTCTATATGAAATTTGAGTGATGT